GCCATTATAATATCCCAGAAATGTTTAGTGACGTGTATTTGAGTAATACACATTTGGATCACTTCCAATCAGAAGCTTTCGTTTCTTGGCACTTGCTAGTTGCACTACCGTATGGTGAGAGTCAGCCCAGCAGATCAGTTAAAATCGGATTACTTTCGTTGGTTAATGACTAACGACTACTAACCTGGCGTTCATCCTGGTTTTCCTCTGGTAGCCGTATACAGCGGCACCTACGGTCTATTTCTCTATAGACGCTCAACTGATGAAAGCACAAGCTTCAGTATAGAACGTTTGCAGAACTCATGAGAGTGCAGTGCCAATGGCGATATTATATGCTAATGACGTCAAATGAGTGTTGTTAAACTTTGGTGTAGTCGGACGACGTTCAGGCGATTTTCTGTCATGGAGTTCACAGCTTCGATTTCGGCTAATAACCGGATTCGTACACGCAGCTGATGATTAAGGAGTTGACTAAATGGCTCCTTTTTACATTGTCAGTGACCGTCCCTGGAAACTCACAAGTTGTACCTTGCCGAGGCTATTTACGTTCAGGGCATTAACGTGGCGGCAGTGTAGTCAGCAGCTAAAAGTTTTAAGCTATTCACTCTCTACCGGGGACACTGAATAAATACTGTATTATTGAAATATTAGTATTTAAAGTGCTTAAGATCTAGTGACTACTTCAAGGCGGATCTTTTCAGCTTCCTGCTCATTCATTTCCGCTTTTGTGATGTATGTGCTTATAATGAAGAACACAGATTTGTTGTCCGAAATATGGCTACTACCAGGTTTCATGGACAGAAATTTACATTCTGTGTCGATGTTTCGGACAACAAATCCGCTGTTCTTAATTATAGTACTATTCAGTACTGCGCATACTCAGATACTGGCACTGAATCAGCATTAGGTTAAAAAGATCTACCTTGAATTGTTTCCAAAGTTTGAAGTACTTCGTATTCTATTCTTTGTACCATGCAGTTTTAATTGCATTTGGCCGGGAGAATGAACGGCTCTGTTGCCGCAGATATTGTTTTATATTTGCTACCGTATTCTGCAAATCCAGCCTGTCTTTCACGTACGGAACAGAGCGAGGGATATGCCAAGTACGTAAGGATGCATTGAAGGATGTCTGCGGGATTTTGCCAGATGCTGGCAAAAGCATGAAAGCATAGACTGCTTCTAGCTAACGAAAACTTCACGTGTTTATCGCCGTAAACAGCTAGTATTTTAGCCAGTCACCTACCATCTCATCAGAGACCTCTAGCTTAGTCGTTGGAAGCCTCTTATACCCTCCTCTCTGCGGACGCCTATGAATGCCGTGTTACTTGCCTCTGTGTAGGTTTTCGCTGTATGCAGTGATGACAGCCGATCATTGGACCCTCCTATGCGCTAAAGATCAGCCTGCTTCAATCTGACTGAAAAACCTAAAGGTGAGAATTGGTACAGTTGTCCCTGTTCATCTCCGGTAAGTTCATCGGCTTGTCCAACTTGCTGCTTACCCTCGAAACGGAGGTCGAATCCCAAACTGTTAGTAGAAAGACCGTGAAGGTATGAATGCCTGCTGAGCCTCACCACCATACATCCTTGTAATGTAATAAAATGGTACCATGGCGTATAGATGAAAGGTTGGAAACTGTCTACTTCCGTGCTGGTCGTATATCTGGCTGCATCACTGTTAACGACTTCTCTTTGATCTTTGGAAGAGAATCTTAAACGTGCTTTTCAAGTCGCCTTGATTGTGCTCAGTATAAAGTGACCCCCTTTTCTCTGCTGCTGTAAACTCAACGTTTTTATTATTATGTTATTGTCATGGCAAAAGTTGTCATTATCGTTTTACGTCATCAGTCGTTAAGCACGTAAACGTTGTTGTGCGGACGTCGGTCACGCCCTGATGAGTTCGCTGTAAAGCCGATGGTAGCGCGGCGGCGCTGTTATCGCATGTCGGCGACGACGGTCAGAGGTGACCAGCGGTCAAGCGGTCTGACAGCCAGTAGCGTCCGTGAACAAAGCCCTTAAACCGTTGGCCTTATGAAGTCGTTTTCTCGGCTGACCTGGTTCTTGTCCATGATTATGACTTTCGACCGACCACAAGTTTCGTACGGCCATTGTTCGGCACGTTCACCACTACGGCCATGTGGAAGTCGGTCGCTTGACGAGATTATCATCTCGACCCAAATAAGTGACGGTATTAGCGCGGCGTTCTTTGGCTGACCGCTGATCCGTGCATCATCCGTATTCTTCCCATGGTTGCTGTACGAACGTGCAATTACGGTGTCTTTCTCGGGCCGATGCCGGATTGCCTTGAACCGACGACGACGGCCATCACCGTGTGACAGCAAGCGTCGTGATCGCCGTCGCCGTCGTCGTCTTCGCTGTCCCGGGGCCGGTCACCGTAACTAACGGCGTTGACCAGACTGGCAATGGCACAGAGGTTGGTCAGCGTGCACTTTGCCCGTTGAGGTTCGCACAGAGGTCGCTGT